CCAGGTGGTGTGCAGGCCACCTGGACAGGTCGGCAAGCCTTCCCTGTTGCCCTTCCGCGAGGGAACGACCTTGGCCGCCGCCACGCGCGTAGCCGGAGGTGGTGGCTTGCACCGGGACGCCGTTCTGTCCACGGCTGTGACCTCGTGCCTTGACCCGCAGCCCTCCCCACCCCCCGGTTTTAGTTTTTTTTTTATTTTGGCACCGGTGTGTGCCAGCGGGAGTTGCTGAACCACCCGTGCTGCAGGTCTGCCTCCGCGCCTGGGGATAGAGAGTTAGAAATATCAAGGAGAGAGAAACATTGATTAGCTGCCTCCTGTACACCCCCCACCCCCCACTGGGTATGTGCCTGCAACCAAGGTACATGCCCTTGACTGGAATTGAACCTGGGACTCTTGAGTCAGCAGGCCGACACTCTATCCACTGAGCCAAACCGGTTAGGGCAAATTCTTCATAATTTTGAGCAAGGAACCCCCCATTTTCCTTTTATCCTGGGCCCCACACATTATATAGCTGGTCCTAGAAGGAGTATAGGTCTTTAGGGACCCCAGCTTTATAGGGTGATGCCTCCTATTTTATGGGCTTTCTCTCTTGTACCCTGTAACTGGCAAGTCCCTTAAAACTCAAAGTTCACATTCACTTGTTTGATAAGAGCAGCTTCTGTGCACTTATCCCTCTATGTTCCTATTGTACCTTTTGTCTTGAATATCTTTTACTTTATTCCAGGAAATCAATGCTTCTATGAAGATTGTTTAAGACAGATGCATTTCCTTTTCAGTGGGAGATTCAATCCAGGTCTCAAATCCTGCTGGAGCAGAAGCCTGGGCAGTATCCCAAAGCCAACCCCATTTCCTCTCTGGAAAGTCCCTCCTGGTGCTCTTCTCCTCTCGTGGGGTCACCAACCTTCTTCCAGATCACAGTCCATCCAAGCCTCCCCCCGACCTCCCCACCTCCACATCTGGACAATCCTGACACAGTCTGCAGGGCCGGGCCAACTATTCCTCTCCTCCATACTGTTCAGGCGTAGCCCCTATCCCCTGGCTCCTCAGGGATTAGCTCTTTGGGTTCTCAAAAGCATTTCT